TCTGAATATCCAATAGTCACACGTAAAGATAATCTTGCCTGGACATCGGCATAGCTTCCTTTTGAGCAAGGGGTTTCCGCGGAGCCACCGTCGCAGTAGTGACCCACTGGGCACATTTTCCCAGTAGTCTCTGTAGGCCTTGGGACAGATGCGCCTCCAGTACAAACAAACCCAGGGTCGCAGGGCCACTGCCCACCACCAGGAGGACAGAAGAAGTTAGCTGGGCAAGGTGAGCAGGCAGTATTGTCGATGGCTCCCTCGGTGCTGCCAGTCGTGCCCAGGGGACACCCGAGCGGCGTGCTTGATCCCGCAGGGCAGAAATACCCTCTGGGGCACCTTGCGCCTGGAAGGCAAGCTGTTTTCTCATCATCTACGCATGAAGCGTCTGTTGGGGTCGGTGAGGGCGCCCCCAGCCTGCAGTAGTAGCCAGCTCGGCATTCCTCAACAACAGCGTCCGATTCTGCTCCCTCGTCTGGGCACGCTTTACCTGGGGGACTGTGCATCCACAAGGCCATCGCAGGCAGCCAGAAATTCGAGGGGCTACTGATAAGAGTATGCACGATTCGTACGTGGCAAAACTGCTACTTGTGTTGGGCAACATTACCATGGCTTGCAGGCAGCGACTGCTGAAGCGCCGGTTGTATCAAGGTAGTGCCCAGCTGGACAGGGTTCCTTTGTTCCTTCAGAGCAGAAGTGCCCTGCCGGACATTCGACAGGCTCAGATGTGGCTTCGGCGTCGCACGTGGAACCTGATGACAAAAGAAAGGCAGAAACAGCAGTCGTGCACGCTAAGTTCGGATTAGTAAACGGCACCAAAGGACAGCTTCGCACTTGGCCTACGCTACGCACCAGGAGGACACGTTTCGCAGGTCAGTGCTCCGACGGAGGACTGGTAGGTCCTGAGAACGATTTGGACAGGAGCGTCGCAGTCTGACGGATGTGCGTTGAGGAGTATCTACAACGACTTGCCGCTTGACGTTCTTTGTGTTCAGTGTGATTATGGCGCGACTGTTGTGCAGTGGACAAGATGAAGCTCGTTGGGTTTTCTAAAAAGCGGCCCGCCCCACGAAGACCTCTCGCAGAGGCTCGAGTTGATTTTAATTACCCTGCTTGACACTTTTGGGGTGACGTTTCCTTGCTGCTGCAGTAGTGGCCCGTCGGACATGGAATGCCAAATTTTGTCTGTTACAGCAACACCGGGAGAATGAGTTCAGCCCTATAGTGGAATGAATTATCCTGTAGGGCAGCAAGGCTATAGACTGATGCAGTGCCTGAACAACCACTGTGCGGCTTTTCACATGAAGTGAAACTCAACAATCGGCTTGTTGCTTTGCACTTGAGCAGCCTACTCGTGAGCCTTCTTTGCAATGCCGGCCATCAAGGCATGCATTTTGCGTGACTTCCGTTGCCCCAAGGAGGACACAGTATCTCCCTTCAGGGCAGGGCTCGCACTGGTCAAAAGATGTACCTCTTCGGTCCCTTCGTACTGTGCCTGAATTCAAATCCAGATACTATCTGACGGGAGCAAAAGTAGGTCGATGCCTAGGCGTGGCTATGACGTCTACGACGCGCGTACCCAAAACCGCAAAATTCTTCTTCCCGGAGCGC